GCACAGAAGTACCAACATTGTAGATATTCGGACTAGCACACTAAATAGTTGGATTTTAATCATTAAAGGTTGTATAAGAACAGCTAAACTTCTATCTAGGGAAAATGCTGATTAAAGAGCCAAGGAAGGTTGATAGGATTTGGGCACATTATCCTTTCTATAAATGATTCTAAATCAGGTAGAGTATAAAGTACTTAGAGAGAGACTAGCAAGGATTTGGGCCTTTATGATAAAAAAAATGTCTCAGGTTATTGTCTGGCATGAGTGGAGTCAGCACAGCGCTGATATACATTTTAGAAATATGGCAAAGTTTCTGCTCTGAAAAATGAATTTATTGTAGTTAGTAATTATTTTCAGTGCATTATAAAGTTCTGACCATATTTACAGTGATAATAAAAAACAAACAGGTGAAAATCATTTTTGTCCAACCCACTTTGTTAGTTATTGTGCTTTTCTCACTTTAATGGCATCATACGGTTAAATATTCAGGCATTATTTAAGAAAAACACATATGCATTTATATATTGCATATATAATTAAGACAATTAGAGGTATTTCAAGTCCCTTCCCTAATCTCCTCTTGATGTTATTTATTAACTGGGTCTCTTGGTGGGTATATATTCAACTGAGAATTTATCCTTGTTATTTTCTTTCTCTTTACCTAATCTACTCTGTTTAAGATTCTTTTTAAGGTTTAATTTTTAATTATATATGCATACAAGTGGATACATGTTATATACAAAATTTACATAAAACTAGACATCCATGTACATACCATCTACCTAAAGGAAAGAGATTATCTGAAAACCTTGTGCATTCCTCTATGATCATATCCCCTTCTCTTTCCAGAAGGAACCATCAGTCTAAAAATGGATGTTTTTCATTTTCTTCTTTTACTTTTTAATTTCTCTTATTGTATAATTCAGTTTACTTGCTATTGAACTTTCTAAGGATGGTTTCTTTCACACTGTAGGTCTCTTCTGTAACTTGCTTTCTTCATTCAACAGACTCCTTCTGATACTTGGCTATGCTGCTACGTGTAGCCATGATCCATTATTTGCACTGTAGAATATCCCAATGTGTGAAGATATTACAATATCTATTCCAATATTGATATTACAATTCAATTTCAGGAATATTCTATAAAGTTTTTAAAGTATTAAAAACTTAGGTGCTTATAAGAACTACTTTTTCTGAGGCACAATCCTCTTCAGGTTGCATTTAATGCCCCATCTGTTTAAACCAGTTGAACCTTTACATAATCTAAATGTACATAATTCAATATGAAAGCGAAAAAAGGAAGTTGCTTCTATGAAAAAAGTTGAACTTTGGAAAGATTTAATAAAGGCAAGTAGCTAAGTCAAACTGTTGTTGAATGAAATTGTGTGGAAAGAAATTGTAAAGAAAAAGTTAAAATAATTTCAGCCCTCAGATTTCTTCACAGGGGTTTTAAAATTTTTACACACTTCAAGGAAACCAAAACAATATATTTTGAGTGGTGCAAAACTGTTGGGGCCACTTGAAGAAAAGGCTTTGGTTTTACATCAAATGACTGGCTTAAAAAATGGTACTTTTATAGTTCTTATATTAAAGCATTTTTAGTTTTATGATCCCCAGATTTAACAGATCTTTTTTTTCATATGGATTGTCACAGCTAATAACTTCAGCATTTTGTATTTATTTACTTCTATTTTTATTTCACAAAGGATTCAGGTAGTTTACAAATAAATAAACCTTAATAAGATAGACAGATTTAAAATGAGTAAGAAAACTGAAACAACAGGAAAATAGGGTAGAAAAGAAAGACAGCAGCCATACTAATATTAAAAAATGAGTGTTATGTTTCTATTATACTTTGCTAAAAATAAATTTGTCTCTAAGTTTTCCTAGCAATCAGTGCAACAATGTAAACAAAATCAGTTATGATCTTTAAGTTACCTAGGAGCTTAAAAACTGACTTAATACTTGGGAAAAAGTATAATTATCTATAAAACAGACACCATAAAAAAATTTCTCCAGTAGATTATCAGAGAGGTTATTTATAAGGTAATAACTGAAACTACCCCAGCAAATTCTTAGCGTAAAAATAGTAACAAGTCCTATAGGGCTGTGTTTTGATGAATACATAATATGAAGCACATATAAATATAAATGAATGTGATATGTTTATGTGTTGACCTATCTTTTAATGAATGGCATGATGCCAAAATATAGTTTAGTAAAAACAATTGTAAGGAGAACAAATATTCTATGATCCAGTTTCCCCATAGTCTGACAATATACATCAATCCAGCTTTACATTTTAGAGTAATTTAAAGCAGTGGCTCTTAAAATGCTTTGGGCAACATACCACTTTGAAATTCTGATGAGAATCTGTACAATTCCTCCAAATCTTTACATAGAGTTTCTGGGAAGTTGAAGTACTTCATAAAGCCTAACCATGAATGCCTTGGGTATGTAACTCAAGGTTAAATACTCTTGGAATAGAGCAGTCCTTCATGCAGTGCTTGAAAACCATTTTCTCTTAGCTAGCATTTTGTAAGGTGTTAAATTTAGGTACACTGAAGATTATTCCTCTTGCCAAGTACCTCAAGTGAAGATATTTTAAGTTGTAAGTGAAATGCAAAGTCATATGCTTTTAATGATCTGTTGAGCTGAGGTAAGACTCACTTTTGTACTGAAAACTGAGGTTAATAAAGACACAAGTCTCAGATAGTATATCACTCGAACTGGAAGCTGAAGGTGTTACTTGTCAACAGAGACAAGCAATTTGGGTGCATTTTCAATATGAGATAAACAACCAGAAATTCCATGCTGGAAAGTATGGTTAAAAATT